TTCTAAACGCCGGTCCCACAGTAAACAGAAATAGAGATTCGTTGTTCTCTTTAGGCTAAATCACCTGAGCGAGACAAAGAGATTATGAAACGTGAGGATAGTTTTAAAGGAGACTTGTGAGAGAGTTGAGGAGGCAATTGTTCAAGGTGACAGCATCATGTTGACATATTCCGGATCGACTTCACCAAGGAATAACTACGAATGAACACTGTCATATATTTAAGGCATTTAACAAATCGGATTCCATTTCTAAAAAATGAAGAGATTCATTTCGACTAATTTTCATTCCACTATAGCCAGCTGTAACTGTTAAAGGCCTTGTATTGAGTCGTATCTCTGCACTATTTCCATACTGGGACACAAACGTGGGACAATGGCATCCCAAAATATAAGTGTAGAGAAAGGCTCAGCAAACTGTTGTAGCCAAGATATGCATTCATCCTCCTGTGAAATCTGCATATACCAAAGGAGAAAGAGGGAGTTGGTATATTTCGTGAACACAGTAACTTACGCAGTTTTACAATTAATCAGTCTGTCCAGCTGATAAACCAAAATGGAAAGTAATGTTCTTCCATTCTGTTTAAAATTATTTTGTAGAGAAGCTGTTTTAAAAAAATGCAGACATGACAAGAGTTAAAAGTTGCATATACTTTTTTATGTAATTGTGTAAGTGATATGGAGACTATGGCTCGGTATTGAAATACAGTAAACTACGGTTATAACGAACTCAAAGGGACTACTAATTTTAGTTCGTTGTAACCGTAATTCGTTATAAGCATATATACAGCATAACTATAGCATATAGTCGGGCCTAAAAAGTTAGTTCGTTATATCCGTTAGTTCGTTATAAGCGTGTTCGTTATAACCGTAGTTTACTGTACTCCACATCTGGAACACCCCGAGAGATGCATCCGGCGATGTCTCCAGCTGCAGCAGCACGTGGACACATCAGTGGGATTACGGCCTTGGAACAACCCACCTATGACAGCCCGACTAGAGATAGACCTGACTATATCACGATAAGTTCAATTTGGTTGAGCTTAATTCTTATATTACAAGTCGACATCAATGTCCACATCACAGAAACTCTTGTTAAATAAAAACGAAACTCTGTTACAAACTTGCATGTTTCTTTTGTTTAACGGCGCACTCAGCAATATTCCATCTATATAAATCGGACAAGACAATCCAGTGATTGATAGCATGAGCATCGATCTACCAAGTCAGAGATCCTGACCACCCGATCACGTTAGTCGCCTTGAATTTTGGTTCTGTGTTTGTCAGCACCATCCCCGTGCTCGTGGGTTTCACCAAAGTGGTAGACACCCATGACCTACATCATTTCGGGTTTTCCTCCCACATTAAGCTGACACGCCGTGAAATGACTCAAATACTGTGTAAAAGGGCGGAGACTAACCTCTCTGACCCACTCAAAGAATTCCTATCTGAAGTTAGCAGCGATAAACAGCATTTATCCCACAGTTCAAATGCCTAATCCATACGTATGTAATAATTCATAGAAGTCGTCTAAATATTGTGATTGAAGTCTCACCTCTGATAGTGTCAGATGTTCTTTGTTTGATATTTAGGAACTATCTTTTAATTAAGAATGGCGAGCAATTCACGGACCACACTCTTCACCGTTGTTGTCTCCATGGGGGGCGGTGTTGTTATCACCTGATTACTATTTCGCTCCAACTTCATCACAGACACGACTAAATACCACTAATTAGCGCATGCCGGAAATCTTATTACTGCAGTTCTGGCTGTGTCCAACTGGCTCCAGTTCTACTCTCCACACCGTCAAAATGGCTACAGCACGTGCAGAGTGGCGCCCCCTACAAACATGGCGGTAGAGGCGCGTGCTTCTGTCACTGAGAAGAAACATACACGGTAATCACTCAAAGCAGGTCCGTTTTATTTCCAATTAAACTTTTCACAAAACGACCGTTGCCATACCACGGGGCCATAGTAAAAATTGCGAGATGGATATGAGGTGTTATTTCGCTTTGTTAATAAATATTTGTTTCCTGAACGAACGCACTTTGCGCGGTGGGGAGTCTCTGGCTGCACGAGTAACGTTGTGAACTCACAGATTTGGCCGAATGTTAGCTTTGATGACTAGCTCAAATTACCGGCAGCCGCGGCATGGTGTCTATATGTCTATGTTTTATTGGGGGCTATTTTCACGATCAACGTCACAACACGCTAGTAAAGCACGACGATCATTATAACAACATCGAACGCACCACATAATAACAGGACGATCAGTGTGTGGTTCCTTTCACGTTTTAGTGGCTTTTGTCGGGAAACCTAGTCATGGATTACATCGAAAATGACATATTTCATTTGAATAGTTTACAGTTTAACAAAGAATTGGTGAAATAACAGGTGAGACAGATGGCTTCGATTACGTCAATTTCCTTTCATAAATACACAGAACTATATTCTACATTAGCTTCATAGGATAGAAGTAGAAATGGCAAGTGCAAAAAGGTTTATAGAAATATTGTTAATAAAATACCAACATTCTATCAAGCCAAACAATCCAAGTCTCTTCAAGTCAACTGGTTTATTTCCCCAACATTATCCCGACACCTTATCAAATGTACTATTTCCCCGACATCAAATCAACTGTACTATTCCCCGGCATATTATCAACTGTACTATTTCCCTGCAATGTAATCTAATCAACTGTACTATTTCCCTGCCATCTAGTCAACTTTACTATTTCCCTGCCATGCAATCGAATCAACTGTACCATTTCCTTGCCATGCAATATAATCAAATGTACTATTTCCCTGCAATGTAATCTAATCAACTGTATTATTTCCCTGCCATGTGATCTAATCAACTTACTATTTCCTGTTTTCTAATCAACTGTACTGATTCCCTGCAATGTATACTCTAATCAACTGTACTATTTCCCTGCCATGTGATCTAATCAACTTACTATTTCCTGTTTTCTAATCAACTGTACTGATTCCCTGCAATGTAATCTAATCAACTGTACTATTTCCCTGCCATGTGATCTAATCAACTTACTATTTCCTGTTTTCTAATCAACTGTACTTTTTCCTTGCCATGTAATCATATCAACTGTACTATTTCCCTGCCATGTAATCAAGAAACTCTGCCATTTCCCTGCCATCTGATCAACTGTACTATTTCCCTGCAATATAATCTAATCAACTGTAATATTTCCCTGCCATGTTATCTAATCAAGTGTACTTTATCCTGTTTTCTAATCAACTGTACTATTTCCTTGCCATGAAATCTAATCAACACTTCTATTTCCCTGCCATGTATTCTAATCAACTGTACTATTTCCCTGCCATGTAATATTATCATCTGTACTATTTCCCTGCCATCTAATCAACTGTATTATTTCCCTGCCATGTAATCTAATCAACTGTACTATTTCCCTGCCATCTCATCTTATCATCTGTACTATTTCCCTGCCATGTAATCTAATCAACTGTACTATTTCCCTGCCATGTAATCTAATCAACTGTACTTTTTCCCTGCCATGTAATCTTATCATCTGTACTATTTCCCTGCCATGTAATCTAATCAACTGTACTATTTCCCTGCTATTTAATCTTATCATCTGTACTATTTCCCTGCCATGTAATCTAATCAACTGTACTTTTTCCCTGCCATGTAATCTTATCATCTGTACTATTTCCCTGCCATGTAATCTAATCAACTGTATTATGTCCCTGCTATTTAATCTTATCATCTGTACTATTTCCCTGCCTTCTGATGAACTGTACTAGTACCGTGCCATGTAATCTAGAAACTGTACTATTTCCCTGCCATGTAATCTCGAAACTGTACTTTTTCCCTGCCATCTGATCAACTGTACTAGTACCCTGCCATGTAATCTAGAAACTGTACTATTACAACTGCACTGTACAACACAGCTGCCGTTTCTCCCAGTGAAATGAACTATTTCCCCAACACAGTTCCCGTTTCTCCCAATCAAATATATTATTTCCCCAGCACAGTTCACGTTTCTCTCATCACAGTCAAATGTACTATTTCCCCAGCACAGTTCACGTTTCTCTCATCACAGTCAAATGTACTATTTCCCCAGCACAGTTCACGTTTCTCTCATCACAGTCAAATGTACATTTTCCCCAACACAGTTCCTATTTCCCTCAGCACAGTCAAATGTACTATTTCCCCAACACAGTTCCTATTTCTCTCAGCACAGTCAAATGTACTATTTTTCCAACACCACCCCATTTTCTTCCCAACAAGAACTCCTAAACTCAACGCCACCCAGTATTATTCCTAGCCCAATGAAATCCACTCACTTGGAAATAACTTTTGAATAAATATGAAGACTATATACACCACTTCTACCCTTATCTATAACAGCACGTAGTTTTCAGGTGATTACAGGCGGGGTTCCTCTGTATTCACGAGTTTGATCTAACTCCAGTGTTCCACAGCAGTATACTTAACATCAGGCACATTCACAAACGTCAGACCCAGGTGTCGTATAAGAATGTATCCTACCACTGCGCACCTGTAGGGTCATAAACGACACAAACTCCAGCTTAATCAGGCAAGCGACATCTCACACATCGCCAGCACCGGAGAGAACTATACTAATACCATATATGCGTTCGCGGGTAAAGATTAGGGCACCTTTTGTTTGTAAACTGACTTTTCTCCAGAAACGCCGACTTTCCGGTTTTCTACGTATTGACATATGTGAGTAATGTATATATAATACGCGTGGGGCTGTTAAGTTTGTATCAAGTGGTATAACACATGGTTGCGCATGTATCACATTCTTGATTCAACACATTGTCCGTCGTGGCGTTGCCGAAAGGACGCGTAGGTGAGTATTAAAGGATTAAATAAAATCAGAATTTAATGGGTTTTTAATGTATATAGATACATACAAGCCTTCATGCTCCTTGAATTAAACTAATCATAAAGTTGGTTGTTCTTCTGTCCAGGGGGAGAGCGGGTACAGTCAACTTACAGTGTGGGGTTGATTCGATTGAGGAAAGGACCCAGTGGTAAATCAGATAGCCTAAACAGGCCCGAGTCGGTCTGGATATGTCCCACCAGTAACTACACGGGAAAATGTGAGGAGATGAGAGTTATCTAATCCAGTATAACATCACTATGGCAACAGTGACTACATGGGATGTTGTAAGATGAATTTTCTATCCCAGTATTACGTCACCATAGCAACAGCGATGACACTGGATAGTTTGAGGAGATGAGTTATCAACCCAGTATTACATCACCATGACAACAGCGATGACACAGAATGTCGTGAGAAGGTATGTCCAACAAACACATTATATTAGAAATTTGGTAAGCACTGGTATTATTCTAGCATACTAAGGATCATAATCGCGTTGAATCTGGGATTCGAACTCACTTTCAGCAACTCCTGAAACGTCTGTTACACCCTCTCACCTTTGCTCCGAGTGTAGATTAATAACTCTAGAAACCGTATGTACCTTTGAAATAAAGGACTAAATTTGGTTACTCTTATATGAATGTGTCTGTCTTTCCAGAAAATCACAAAGATTGGAATATTGCTAAGTGAAGCGTTATAAAGACTCGACTCGGTGCTTAGCCCTGTTTGTGCCGTAATTTGCTGATATTGAATGACTAATATCATCACAATGACAGCAGTGGCTGACACTGGAACTAGAAAACACTTTTTTCGATTAACACGATTTACATTTTAAGCATAATTAGCATGATTTCCAAGACAAACATCTACCAATGTACCACATAACGTTAATTTGTATTTTATTGCGCTTTAATATTCTATAAGTACCCGACCCGTGGCGGTAGGGTAACGTTAATGTTTTTTTAATGTCACTATAATATTTATAGAAGATATGGAAAGTACACGACAGGCCGGGTATTGTTGGTTAATGCTTTTGGCACCGTCTCGGACCCTTCACTGGCCCAGACTTTGAATAAATAGGAAACCAACTCTCTAAATCAACATTTCTTATATTTATATATTGATGTCCAATAAAATTACAAAAACGTAATTACATAATTATTAAACAAGTTCACTAAAATATTGGTTAAAGATCTAAATTATATTACCACCATTATCAAATAGCGCTTTTATAAGAGGCCTACAGAAACGTGTAGATCGAAAGCTTTCATTACCATACTTCGTCTTCTTAATGTCTGTATCTCCATATAGAACATGCAAATCAAAACATATAAACCCGATTAAGAGAAAACTAGCATGATAATCACTTGTGGAAGTAGTCCACGTCTCAATTACATATTATTGCTGTCATGCAAGGCAAATATTAGCTGACAGGAAGAAAACAACATCACCACGCGATCATTTCGCTTTGTGACGTCGACCGCCATTGACACGCGGAATTCTGGGTCACGCAAAATCTCGCGGCTGAAAGGGGCGCGCCGGAAGTGGATCAACGGAAATACTAGAGAGTTCCATTAGGGTCGTTCATCAGCTTTCGCCATATTACCGGGCCCAGACCTTAGTTGAATACTTGCATTGATTCAGTGTTTGTTATTTCGCTAGCCATTACCTCCAAGTTCCTCTGTATCTGAACGGAAATGGATCGTAAGTTTGTCTGGGTTCCAATTTTTAAATTGACCCCCGCATCAAACTGTCGATAGTGGCTCTTCCGGTCTTTTACACCCATGTCACGCGGAGGAAGAATTTGTTTCTAAGTTGCTATTAATTTCATTGACTTTATCGAAATCAGGGGTCGGACAAATATTTGCCTTTTGAATCAGCTTTTTGGCTTCTTGATCGTCTTGAGCAGGGGAGTGATGGTTGATCTGGGTTACATCGATTAGACGAAGCCAACAGTCTCCCTGTGAATAGCTGACATAGCAATGGAGACATTACTGTCCTTTTAAGTCGGACGACACAACTTAACCAGCGATTAGACCCAAGGAACATTAATAACAGCTGTTTATAGATTCCTACAGCTCGGGTTATTGGTATTCGACAGAAATCAGGCGTTGACGTTCTTCAATTGTTCATGATTGCGGAACCTCGTTAAGCTATGCAGTGAAAGGAAGGAATGGGTTTAGGAGAAGTTTTCTATCATGTTTTAGTTCGGGCTACATGTTCAGTCCTGCAGATTTGGCAGTTTATGTCGTGTTGCTTGTAATTTTCCACACTTCAAATTCAACCGACATCACTTACCGGGGAGGTCATTCGCTTGTAGGCCTGGGACGAGTCCAAATTTACTACCCGGGTACCCACTCCTCTATTACCCGACCCTACCCGGGTACCCACTGTAGGTCTGAAGAGATACAAAATGTCCGATTGGTAATTGTTTTTACCACAGCACTTGCAAAACGTATTAAGATACATGTATTAAACGATCTGGTCATGCATACACTGAAGTTGATTTAAGTTAGATCTTTATTCAACCATATAAAAAGTCAAAAGAAATGATTGCGTAGTCAGAAATAAATGCATTAGTGACTTGTAGTGTAACCATAGAGTTCTAGACAATTTTTGTCATTAAACTATATATCACATGACTAACACTGGGTCCGGGTAGTCCTGTTGGTACCCGGGTCCTCCTCAGTATCCACCCGTCCCGGGTATCCGAGTTACCCGTCCCAGCCCTATTCGCTTGGATATTTTCTCACAAGAGTTAAATCCAAGACGAAGACTCGTGTTTTAATCATACTAGTGATGATGAAAGAAACTGATGCAAACAAAGAAATGGAAAAGAGATGAATGAAATATTGACAAACAGTACCGGTCCGAAAATGATGACATATTTACATGTAGGTATCTGTAAATATTGGTTAACTTGTTTTACCTTCACCTTTAGACAATGTTTGAATTGGCTTTGATTCGAACGTGAGGAAAGGTTTCATGGAAAACTATTAAAGCATATCGGTTTTTTTGCCACTTTATTGAAATTCTGGATGTTTTGCATACCGTATCAATGAAACAGTTACTATATTCAATGTTAAAAGCAAACGATTTCAAGTTTTAATTGCTTGTACCTATGATTGTAATAACAGCATACTGAATACACAGGACCAACACAATGTTGGACAATCCAAGAACTGATACCTTAATTCATGTCATTGTGAGTTGAAGCCTAAATCAAATATTCCATGAATCCCCTTGTTGTGTGACATGATGCGCTTTAACACTCCTTGGTCATCTGATGAACGAGATCTCGCGAGAGATGTGACGGCAGCAGCCAGACGAAATATCATTGTCCACGTTTGAGACACCAAGTGTCAACATGCTATTGAGTTCACACAAGGTTTTAATAAAAGTCGAATAGAAGTCAATTCTCCCTCAAATATAAATTAATAAAGGCTGTTTGCTCTGAGTGTGATGGTATGTTTTTAATTACCATCTTGTCTTTCAGTGCTCGTCCACTTGACATGGATGTACGCGATGTCCCGGATAGAGCCTAACCCGCCATCCACGATCATTGAACACTGCCCTGTGAACAAGAGGCCAACTTAATGAAAGGGTATTATTTTCAAAATATTGACTTGTCGTTTCAATAAAGATTCGACAATCGCGGAACAATATTTGCTTTTTGGTGCTCTCAGTTTGTTGAGCATCTGATAAAAGATCAATTAACAGAAGGAAAACTGTCGCGATAAGAGATCCCCATTTGTTCTGACGCAGTGCCTCCGCAGCAAGCATCCCATGAGAGTACTCTTTTCAACCAATTATCTTTCCGCGAATCCTTCTCCGCGTTTGCGCCCCGCGCCTTTCATCGCGAGACAGCCGCGCGACGCTCACGAGCCCACGTGATGAATGACGACTTGCCATTTAGAATTGGACCCTCTTCATTTGGAATCGTTGTATCTCCATGAGAATAGCCAAAGAATTGGGTAGGATTCCCCCAAACATCTGTCCAACAGTAAGGTCGGACATGCAGTTCAGCCTGTAATGGCACTGTATTAATATTTTATTGTTTGCCTAGTAATTGATAGTTCGCCGACGTTATTTGCCTTTTCAAATAGGTGTTGAAATATAAATTGACTGACGATCGTGTTGTAATGATGAATATCAATCATTATTGTTATGGCTTGTCAATAGGTTTGGGGGCAGGGTTTATTCATATTTTTTCTCTATTTCGTCTGATTATTAAGTTGATTAAAGTTTTAAGACCAGGACTGGCACACCGAGGATTACAGACAACGACACCAGAATAATTCTAACCAAATGATCAATGTATAAACGATTGATAACAATGAGATATCCATCAAGAAGGATCCTTAACATAGCTTATGAAGAGGCGTCCTGGGCTTGTGAAGACATTGCCACTAAGAAGTGGGGACCAGGCCATTAACATGCTAATTTAGAGAGATGTATGACATGCGAGACTGTTCAAATCTATACGATCTTGCGGCTGCATGAATAAAATACAATATTTAGAATTGTATACGGTGTATTAGAGTACGGCTATGTCGAATGTTTGTAAGTCTTGGAATCAACCCGATTCCTTGACTGTACTTTACTTAATGAAATTAAACAACTGCGTCTTGTCGAAAATCGGTTATCGCGAAGCTTTCCTTCAAGTCCAACATAACCAAGTCCTCTTCGAGATGTCCGTTTATCTAGTTAAACGTGCAAGGGTGATCTACTGTGTTCAGCTGGGGGATGAAAAATTAAACGAATTGATCAAAGAAAATCAGGGATAACACCAGGTGTTCGCGAAAAGTGTACGCATGTCCTGTGCTAACTGTCAAGCAACCATCACTCATAGAAGAAAGAGGCCGGCACGTGTACCCACTTTACATCAACCGAACGTATTTTTTTACCAGTGGGTTAAGTTTGGTTTTCAATAAGTATATGCTCTCTCGGCGTGTAAGCTTAATGTGATTCAGGTCTTTGACGTTTGACCACTTTGGTGTAACCCGTGGACGCGGGTCGGTGCTGACAAACGAAGAATCAGTCCGATGTTGGACCTGGAGCCAGGATCATACGACTAAGGACGCAATTCTACGACTAAGGGGCGCAATTCTGCGACTAAGGACGCAATTCTACGACTAAGGGACGCAATTCTGCGACTAAGGGACGCAGTTCTGCGACTAAGGGACGCAGTTCTACGACCAGGGACGCAGTTCTACGTCTAAGGACGCAATTCTACGACTAAAGGACGCAATTCTGCGACTAAAGACGCAGTTCTACGACTAAGGGACGCAATTCTGCGACTACGGACGCAATTCTACGACTAAGGGACGCAATTCTGCGACTAAGGGACGCAGTTCTACGACAAAGGACGCAATTCTACGACTAAGGGACGCAATTCTGCGACAAAGGGACGCCATTCTACGACTAATAGACATAATTCTACGACTAAAGGGGAATACTTTTCCGACTAAGGACTAAGTGTCGCAATTCTACGACAAAGTGACGCTATTCTATGACTAAGGGACGCAATTCTACGACTAAGTGTCGAAATTCTACGACTAAGGACGCAATTCTATGGCTATGGGACGCAATTCTACGTCTATCCTTGTCCCAAGTTTTTGTCCTCCAGTGTGTCTACTTCAGGATCCTAAAGATCCTTACTCAGGATCCGATCGGATTAATAAACTATTAACGTAGGTCACACCTGGAAACTCCATGGTTAAAGGTCCACTTGAAAATATGTTGTCACTTCACCATGTGTGTACACTTTCTGAAGGACATTCTATGTCGCCTGTCGTGATTTTGGTGTAATAACCGTGACAATGGCGTCTAACGTCAATACAAATCTCCCACTGGCATACCTAGAGCAACTGAAATATAGTACTTGAAAGCTTGATACCATTCAGTCGTAATATCAATTGCACTGTGTATGCATTATTAACAGGTCACGGTAGGAGGTTAGAAAAACCTAACTAAATAATTAACCTGGTTATTGTGACAATATTTGGCCTATTGAGTGATTCAGACGTGCCGGTAATTAACCGTAAAGAGGTTCTTAGATTATTGGTTTCAGCGTTATTCAGCTAACATTGTACCAACCAGTTTAACATTATCATCTAGTTGATACAGGAAGATTTAATCTGTGTTAAACTTTCTCAAAGTCAATCAATTTAATATAGGGCCGAGGTACTGCCGCAGTTGTTGTGTGTCACCAAAGTGGTAATGGCAATTTTAAGGACACCATTTCGGGTCCCCCCAATATATAAAGTTGAAATATTAATACTGAAATAGTGTTCAAGACGGCGTTGAACACAACCAACTCATTCACTCACTCACGACCACACACATGCCACACTGTCCTTGCTGCAACAGACCTGGGAACATACGTACTAAGATCAACCCCGCTACAAAGTGTGAGGATATCATTGGGATATTTCTCTTTCAATAATTTTTTTATATTGGACATCCATTATCCACACTTATAATTTGCTGTAATTAAGGAGTGTCTTTCATATTATATTGGCGCTGAAAGGGTCAATATAACGTCAACAATAATACACTGTGACGTCATTAATATTATGACGCCATGTAACATGTTGGCTGTTTTACGTCCACAATGTCACAAGTTTTTAACAATTACGCGTGTGCTAGTGTTGTGTTCATATTACGTGCATAACTTCTGATAATATATTTCCCTGTATATGAGCAGTGAGAGAGAGAGAGAGAGAGAGAGAGAGAGAGAGAGAGAGAGAGAGAGAGAGAGAGAGAGAGAGAGAAGGATCTGGTACGAACACAGCGTATACGACTTTAATAAGGAGTGTTTATCGCTTTCCCGTCGTTGTTTTCAAATTACCAATGTAATGTTCTCGGCTCTGCATCTTAGTTATCATTGCTTGAGAAATGGATCGAACTATAAGTCTGTATTATCCTTATCATATTTGATATCCATACACATGTTAATTAGTGACCGAATACGCTCGCTACAGCCTGTACAAATAGCCGCTTTCGGCGGATATCCTTCCGTCCGCAAGGAATAAACAGATTGGAAAATATTTAGTTTTGTCTTTTATTCAATCAGAATATCATAGCCTTTATAGATCGGTCTTTCATCAGGAAAGATATTATCAAATCTTTATTTAGTGTGTCACTCTTGCGGGATTTCCCTGACAGAAAGTTACAATATTGATGGAGTTTTTGTGGACAACAAAGGACGGAATATACGACCTTGTCGCAGACTGCTTGATGGCATATTCATGTTGAGACTAGAAACACTAGGCGAGTATTCCCACATGCAAAGGATTAGTCCAACAATGTTACTGTTGACGCAAATGTCTGATTAGGAGTCTTATTGTTCTGCTTTTCTGTGGAGGAAAATATTATTTGATCCCGAAACTAGTTGTAATGAACTCCCCATCTGTTTTGCCAATGAGAACTTGGATGGTGACATAATGAAAGTTCTAACCTATGTGACTACATAAAGCAGGCGCTTGTTGTGGGTGTCCGGCCCAAGCGTGTAATACTGATTAAATTAGAATACCAAGCACTTCAATTTCCTTCAACAATAATGCAACAAGAAGCAATATTTCCTATCATAAATGAGGCAGTGTGTTAAATGAATAGGTTTATGTATGGCTTCAATCTGATCGTATATCTTAAGAAAGGCAGCATGCATTTTGCGAAGACATTAGCGTGTATGTTGTGTGAAACTACTCCAGGCCTCTGTGTGAAACTCGCTGAAAGGCACCCACAGAATGCCTCATTGATTTGTGACTGTAAAGCTTGGTAAACCTATTTGCTCTATGCGTGATGATATTCGCTCCGATGTGTTTTCTTCATTGTGCTGCTGTGTGGCAAATAGAATTAATTTACCGGATTAAGGGGTGCTGACTCAGATTTAATTTTTGCCTTTTGTAAATAAAATAATACCACCTCCCGACGGTGCGTGGATGTGAAATCAAATATTGCATTTTGTAATTAGGTTGGAGATCACTAAGTCAGGCGAGACAAACTAGCTCAGTCGGACTTGTTGTCAAGGAACAGGTAGACCCCTGTAGCTGGTTTACTAGTGTGTGCAGTGAGGTGGGCGAGGCCTCCATGCCACTTGGTGTACATTAGGGAGCATTAGGTGTTCGTAACATCACTAAGGTAGTAACCGTATTCAACCTAAAGGTGGCATACATGATATAACGTAGCTTATAACGAACTAGTAGGGTTGGATAAACAAACAATATACTTTACAGTGTCAAAACGTTGGTTATACATTGTGTATGAGGTGAGGTGAGGTGAAAAACGTCCAAGATTATTGCACTTATATAGCGACGTGCATGCACGTGTATGTGTGTGTGTGGCTGCTTGTACTAGTCCGGACTGATGCCGATTTATAGTGCTAGCTCACTGAGATACCATGCCGCAGTTTAACATGAGTACCCCACTCAGACACAGTATACTGACTCCGAGCCGACCAGTCCTTGTTTTAGCCCCTTAATGCCGAGCGCCAGACAGGGTAACAACAAGTACAATCTTTTAACGTCTTTTTGTATGACGCGGCCCGGGATCGAACCCTGGACCTTCCGCTCTCCGGGCGGACGCTCTACCACTAGACCACGGAGGCGGTCCATTGTGTATGAAGGTGCACCGACGAGATTATCACAATAACTTCTAGGTACGTGCGTAATATCACGTGACGCCTGCTTGTGATTACGACAGGCAGGTGATGATTGTGTAAGTCGGTGTACTACGTTCTGTTGGAACTACTTATGAAAAGAACGATCTACGTCATCAGTGACGTCATGTTGCCATAGTTATGACCCAGAGAAAATAGCTGGCCTTTACAAACAAACGCTTACTTTTAAATGCAAATTGTGCGTGTTGCGGTGCTACCGGTAGATACAACATGCTGATTGTCTCCTAACACGATGGGATGTAGGGGTGTTGGTAGGTTACTGACATGCTTACCCTTCTCTCGAGCACCTGATCACTTTCATATCAATCATATAATTGCCATCACTGTTTTGCCTTTGGCGCTATTGGAATCTGTTTCGGCGATAATCGAGACTGGTTATTATCTGTGGTTGGTGCTTTTAAAAAAATATTTTATTGTTTATTTGACGTATGTGAGCCCCGATGAGTTCAACTGGGGAGGTAATTAGTAACTACTATTTTTGTGAAATTGGGCTCTCTCTCTCTCTCTCTCTCTCTCTCTCTCTCTCTCTCTCTCTCTCTCTCTCTCTCTCTGTGTGTCTCTCTGTCTCTCCCTCTCCCTCTCTGTATCTCTCTGTCTCTCTCTGTCTGTCTGTCTGACTGTCTCTCTCTCTCTCTCTCTCTCTCTCTCTCTCTCTCTCTCTGTGTGTGTGTGTGTGCGCGTGTCTGCTTGTACTAGTCCGGACTCATTCTTATACTAATAGTTCTAGCACACTGAGATACCATGCCGTATTTTAACAGGAATACCTCACTCAGGCACAGTATACTGACACCTAGCCGACCAGTCTCTGTTTTAGCCCCTTAATGCGGAGACAACTAGCAGCAAGTACCATCATGTGGCCAGCAGTGTTGTGCCAAGTTGTACATCATGGCCAGCCGTGGTAACCCGTGTCAGTTTCACATCAGAACATCCAGGTTTCATAAAGCAATCAACCAAGTGTTGAAATATAAATGTATTACATATTCCAATGGGACAGCAAAATACGATACACTCATAGCAAAGAAAATAACACACACAAAAACGCAGTAAAGTTGTCATGTTTTATTCGGTCAAATCTATGGCAGCCGCTTAAAGTTTGATGTGAATGTCTTCGCAACGTCAGTAATAAACAAGGTGTCCAAGATATCATCGAAGGAATTCGAAGATTTATGTAACACTAAACTAGGTAACATAAACAGAATATATAATTGCATACTCAATATAAACAGACGATGTCATATTACATATTTATTTTGGATCATTCATGAGAATATGTAAGAAATGTTATCAATTAATTAATTATGCATTGCTCTTTTGTGGCTGAAGATATTACAAAATTCATAAGTCTATTCACGGCTATTGCAACGCCCACATGAGAAATATGCCATTTTCTTTTGATTAAACACTATTAACATTATATCCCGAATGATGAGAAAAATGCAAGACAATGTATAATGTAGTTTCACAAAAGAATAATAAGCCTTTGAAATGCAAGACTTTTAAAACATTATTACTCCATGGGAGCACCATTATCATTATATTTGATTAAATTGCACAATGACCATTATAATCCTTTAAGGAAACATTGTGACAAATGTCCCCTTCTACGTCTCACTATAATGCTATTTACATGAAAACTAAACACTGAATATTTAATGCGGCGGAAAACAAATGACATGAAACCCATATACCAAAGTTGCTCAACGTCAATATGCAAACTATTTCAATAAAATCAAGAATATCTTAAAGATTAAAACCAACACCTTCGGGGATATAGGAGTCAATGTGTTATTGGGTATTAAAGTTTAATTATTCCAACAAAGCATGTGCTAATGTGTTGGGCTCGCTTCGGTGTGGGCTCCCACTGCGGGACTGTTGTCCTCATTCGATACAGCATGTAAATTATGCACAGTGCGTAGATGTGCTTCAACGGAGCCAGAATACAACGGTGGGAAGTGCAAGGAACAGTTTCGCTTGGGTCCCTGGTTCAGTCTGATGGTGGGGTGTTCCTTTCAGTGCCATCAGTTACACGATCCCACTCTACTCCACTCTACTCTTTTTGAAACAATACTCTTTACTGGTAATTTATCCAAAATGAATATAAGGACTAAGTGTTTGAAATAATAAATGGATGTGAGTGTAACATGACCCCGCTATAACGTTTTAGCACACACAAGCGAAAATAAAGTTCAATAAACGTTATATGTTATTTGTAGAATTGTGGAGGTTTGGTTTTCTGCGTGTTTAGCGTTATACGCCCCCAATATGACAGCGCTGAAATATTTATATCAGAAATAATCTTCAATCTACAGGTTTCTGTATATTGGAATATGCATCATATTATTTTAGCTGTCATATTTTAATATAAAACAGCAACGCCAGAATAAACAGTATCGATGTTCCGACGAAACAGATTGGCGTAAAAGGCAGATATCCGTGGTCACCCAACTCATTTGCTTGTGGTATGTCTGAGAGTGTTAGTTATTTGGCAGCGTATGAACTGACCACCCTTACTAATACTTAGTACCCAATTGAAAATGTACCTGCGCGCAGATGCGGAGGTGTGCATGGTCGGCCACAGAGCTCCGCCCGTCCTTATAACGCAGTAATCAGCTTTGATGCCCGGCATTGTTGGACGTGTCAGAATTGTAAATAATAAATTCTGACGGTGGTGGGTCTTTGAATACCAGACCCCATAATACCCTGATGAAAATATTTGAAGAAGTGGTTGAATGAATTTGAGAGAAGGATAAACTAAAAACACAGAGTGTGCGTCACCGTCCCATTGGACTCGTGGCAAGGCAGGCGGATTTCTAGCAATATCTACCGCACAGTTCATTGGCAACAATGGCACACAAATACACTGTCCGATTGAATCTAGGCGGGATGATTAGCTACGGTTCTACGTAGGTGCCAATACTGAAAACATACACGCAGACTCGGGTAATGGCCGGACACAAGGCATGGAGGTCCTGGAGTTTTGAACCTGATCAAATATAATTTAATTTGCGTTTGGAAAAAATAATAAAATAATAGTTGCATCCGATATTTTCAAACCTGGTTTATCATTATTTCACGGACAGTCTTCCTATGTTTCTTTCACATTTGATAATATAATGACTTTGTTTTTATGATTATGTCTGTATTAAATATTTATGATATTTTCAGATATTGATTTATAACCGGCTTGTTTTCGTAATGATGAATTACAATTTGACAAAACATTGAATGATGAAAACCAAATCTATAAAGTTCATTTTCTATATTTCTAAAATTCTACATATATGTAAAAACATAATGAGGTGTAGACATACATACTTGAATAATACTTTGGAAAATTTAAACATCTACATTAATTATTTTTATTTTAGAAATTATGTATTAAGAGACGTAATGTTATTGACTTACTGTCATTTTAGAGTCTAAACAACGGTAATCAAATAATATTATAAATATATGCCTGTGATAAATTATAAATGGCTTCCCATTCTTTCCCCTCTTAAGTTTAAAATTTACCATTAACAAGCATCTATAGAAATTCCTGGCAGACGTTGATACCTTTCAGTGTCTGAGATTCGACATACTGTATCCCCAGCCCAGAAATAGTTCGTCAATATTTTACTCCCCGATCCAATAAAATCTCTCGTTGCCTTTAAGTAGCAATCGAATCTTAATGAATCCACGTAATATCGTTAATCCATAGGATCAAGTTACAGAATCCTCTACCTTATTGGCAGGCTGTTCTCGGCCCTGGGATCATCCCGGATTATCCTGATGATGAGGCTCGGACACCAGGTATCCAACGGGCTTTGTTTCGGCCGGAGAACAAGCTGGGCGAGCGATGGGGAACGCGTGCATAGAGATAAATGCGCAATTTGCCGGAAAAGTGATGGATGGACACCAAATTTGTCATGGAATTCACGCCAGAAGGACGGGCATAATGTTCCAAGGCCTTGTGAGATGTTAAGTAGTGGTTCATCCCTCCTCAACAAGGTAGCTAATTGATGCGACAAAGGCTTCACTCATTTCCACGGCGCGCTTCTTAAGGGGGGAACTGACCCCTTTGATTAACGCTAAAAATAAATGCTAGAAATTGAAACATTTGAAATTCAGTTGTATTAAGTATTTTATCTTTAATTCATGAGTTCCGATATTGAGCAGGAGTTTGCTGGATGAATGATAAGTTAATGACCAGGACAAAATTATATTCAAACGGTTTTATAAATATTTTCATGGTTAAGACGACCTTTTAAAAGTTTTTTAGCGGTGTTTCTCACACAAAACTTTTTATGCTTGATATTTCTAAAACAATCCATAAATTTGATTGCTCAATTAGGGAAAGTCACGCACAAACGCATATGTGGATTTGTTTTGATTGTATAAATTAATAATCAATATATTAAAATATGTTTTCTTATCACTATATCTTTTATTATGACTTATCAAGAACGTCACATTGAGTATCAATAACGTCAGAGAAAGCGTCATAACTTACCGAGGACGTCAAAGGAAGCAGTATGCCTTGTCGAGAACATCCGATAAGCTAAAAGGAAGCGCCTGACTTGTTGAGAACGCCAAAGGAAGCATCATGACTTACCAAGAACACCCAAGGAAGCATTATGACTTACCGAGAACCTAAAAGGAAGCATTATGACTTAACGAGAAACCGAGAAGCATATGACTTGTCGAGAACGTCAAAGAAACCAATATGACTTGTCGATAACGTCAAAGAACTCATATGACTTGTCAAGAACATCAAAGGAAACATTATAATTTACAAACACATAAAAGGAAGCATTTGATTTATCTTGACATACCAAGAACACCCAAGAAGGCATGACTTATCGAAAACGTCAATGGAAGTATTATGACTAATCGAGAACGTCAAAGGAAGCATAATAACTTATTGAGAACGTCAAAGGAAGTATTTTGAAATATTGAGAACACCAAAAAAGCATTATGACCTATCAAGAACGTCAAATACAGCATTATGACCTATCAAGAACGTCAAATAAAGCATTATGATTTGTCGAGAACGTCACATTAAGTACCATTTCTTGTCGCGAACGTCAAAGCAAGCATTATGAGTTGTTGATAACGTCAAAGGAAGCATTATGAGTTGTTGATAACGTCAAAAGAAACATTGTGACTTAGCGAGGACTTCAAGGAAGCATTATGATTGACCGAGAACATTAAAATAAACATCACTACTTATCGAGAACGTCCTAGGAATCACCGTGGCTTATATCGAGAACGTCCAAGGAATCACCATGGCTTATCGAGAACGACCAGAGAGCCAATATACATGTGGGCAAACTGTTAGGAAAAGTTGAAAGGTGTCGATGATTTGACTACTTAAAGCATCAGGAATTTCGACAGTTTCTAAAATTACACCACTTCGACGTCAAACGTCTTGATATGTTCATAACAGAGCGGACATTCTCAGAGGTCTTGGAACGCATATTTGTACACACAAATGTACTTAAATGGACATTATGTATGGCGTGGGACAACATGTGTATGAAACTGAACAGACATAAGAAACTGGTATTAAACTTATGCGTTGATTGATATATACATAATACGCCCCTGTCATCACGACAAGGATTAATTTCCCTGTTTATCCTGGTTCGACAGAGTCCCGCAGTTCAACACACAACCTCCCAGCCTATTACCTCTGTTTATGATAGTATGAATGTTTCATGACCTATCTGCATTGTGTCCGCAAACGAGCATCTTAAACAGGCCTTATTACAGACAAAACGCCATAATCACTCTTGCCCAATGTTTCGTGAATTTATTCGGTAAACGACTCTCTTGAGTACAAAAGGGCAACATATTTGATTGCTTATAAGACCATTATGAGTTACGGCTCATAATAGATTTGCAGATAAAACTAATGTAGCATAAGCTGTTAGTCCTTGTAGTAAGTTTAAACATACATAATTCAAACGTTGAGTTATCTGTATTCGTTTGATAATGCATGGTCAAATGGACCATTGGGTCATTAGACAGCACGTGGGAACTATTGAGCTACTTTAGATTCCACTGATTAAATGTCATGCCAGATTTTAAGCATTGTAATTGAATGCTGTCTAACACATATAATCCTCTGCTATGCTTGTGTTGGATCATATTTGGCAATGGTGGTCCACGCGTTGGCAGAATCTTTGTTTAGTGAATCTTTGTTTAGTAATATCACATTGAGAGCATATCTGAATGTTGAGCCCATATCGGTGGGACTGACGATGTAACTTAGTACACGGAGCGCCACACACGAGGCAGTACTGGGTGACACATGTTACAACAATTGGAGACACAGCATGTACAACATATATGGATCATGTTATATCTTACTAACAAGAATTTCCAGACTTACTTAATACTAGGTTAATAGTATATTAATCACAATATTTTATGTGAGTGATTGTTTGTGTCAAAGAATGAATGAATTATAACATTTAAGAAACATAATTATAACATTTGACAAGATAATATGTATACATGTATTTGGTTGTGTTTAGAGTGTTGATCAAGGTACTTATAGCGTCCTCTGTTATGTACGCACTTGCACACTAAATAAATAAATAAATATTTCTGACACGTTTTAAAACTGGACAAGAGATAAGTTATTGAGTAATTAGAGTAATGTCACAAATACCCCCTACCCAAAGAGAAGTATGTCAGAGTGGCAAGCACAAGTTAAAAACGCAAACACTTTTCATGCAATGTGTTAAAACTAAATTGAAAAACCCATTTCCAACAACAACACAGTATTGTCCTTCTTTTGATGGCTGTACGGAAAACATACCAAGTAACGTAGGAAGACACAATTGACACAATTATGATTGCCACACGTGTTTCTTGTCCATATCTGTGGGAAGGGGACAGAGATTATGTCTGTTTCAGTAATTTAATACATGTATTGTTTCGCAATCGGATATTATCATATACTGCCTTCATCGTGAAGCAATCATTATTACTGAAAATCTCTCTCCTGCGCAAATACTGTATGTACTCGAGAAATAAAGTCTCTCTGAAACAAACGTATGTTCTGTTCCCGTGTTTCAGAGGTATTTTTGTGAAGTATCCTAAAGCCAAATGAGTTCTTGTCTGACGTGATGTATTGAGCTCATGTTTGGTCTGTGATGTGTAGAGTTCATGTAAGACCCTGAAGAGTTAACTGCGTTGTCTGTGATGTGGAGAGTTACTGTATGACCCTGAAGAGTTAAATGTATGGTCTGTGATGTGTAGAGGTCATGTATGACCCTGAAAAGTTAACTTTATGTTCTGTGGTGTGTAGAGTGCATGTATGACCCTGAAAAGTTAACTGTGTGGTCTGTGATGTGTAGGGTTACTGTGTGACCCTGAAGAGTTAACTGTGTGGTCTGTGGTGTGTCATGTATGACCCTGAAAAGTTAACTGTGTGGTCTGTGATGTGTAGAGTTACTGTGTGACCCTGAAGAGTTAACTGTGTGGTCTGTGATGTGTAGAGTGCATGTATGGCCCTGAAAAGTTAACTGTGTGGTCTGTGATGTGTAGAGTTACTGTGTGACCCTGAAGAGTTAACTGTGTGGTCTGTGATGTGTATGGTTACTGTGTGACCCTGAAGAGTTAACTGTGTGGTCTGTGATGTGGAGAGTTACTGTGTGACCCTGAAGAGTTAACTGTGTGGTCTGTGATGTGTAGAGTTACTGTGTGACCATGAAGAGTTAACTGTGTGGTCTGTGATGTGTAGGGTTACTGTGTGACCCTGAAAAGTTAACTGTGTGGTCTGTGATGTGTAGAGTTACTGTGTGACCCTGAAGAGTTAACTGTGTGGTCTGTGATGTGTAGAGTTACTGTGTGACCATGAAGAGTTAACTGTGTGGTCTGTGATGTGTAGAGTTACTGTGTGACCATGAAGAGTTAACTGTGTGGTCTGTGATGTGCAGGGTTACTGTGTGACCCTGAAAAGTTAACTGTGTGGTCTGTGATGTGGAGAGTTACTGTATGACACTGAAGAGTTAACTGTGTGGTCTGTGATGTCTATCGAACAGATTTCTGACAAAACTAGTACATCACAATGAAACAAGGATATTAACATATCATGTTCTTAGTTTATTGTTGGGGGCGTTTTGAAATAGATTCTTTCCTTTGCTTTACTTGAGAAAGTTTAATTAATGCGTGACTCATTGCACCATGTTATGTTCCATTTTATTTTGTAATTTTTTAATCCTATCGGTCATAACACAGTGCGTTTGACTTCGGTTACGATGGAACTGTGGACAATTTGTGTTATTTTTTAAATGAAAAAAAATAATGTTAAAAAAATATTCATTACAGTTTAACATAACCCGTCATGTTCTGTATAGCATCCAACATAATGGACCCTTGACATCTCTAGAATGTGCCCCAGAAGCCGAGGAGTTCCACAGATCTTGCCCCTTGTCTACGCTCTTCCAAAGTCGATGATCGTCAGAGATGGTTTCCGTCCTTAATGGTTTGCCTGTTATCAATGGCCAGTTGAGACGTCACTGGTAATGTCCTCCCGTGTTGAAAGGTGTGGCGAAAGTCTCCAGAAATCCACCTCGCGATACGGCACCAGTGCTAAGCTATGTATAAAGTGAGAGGGTCTTCCCCCTGTCGAGGCCTAATACCGCAAATCCCCTCTAGTCCAGGAGTAGATTGAAGCGGTGCCGGGAAAAGGGTCCAACGCCAGTAACGCGTCTCTCTAATCCACGTCGGGGACAGAGGACGTGCTTTAAAAGAAATATTTGATGATGTTTTTGCTCCGTGCTGGTATAACAGCTCTGCTCGATCGCCTGTTTTCTTTATGTTGTTAACTCACTGTAAATTGAATTGCTCTCATGGCAATACCTAAGCCATCCAATTGAATCGTAACAGCGCCGGCGATACGTGAGTTGCCTTGCCGCAAGGGCGAGACGTTACCTTTGTGCCAGGCCATGACGTCATTGCCGCACCATCAGACCCGACCTTCTGGACATATGGACTATAGGAAGGGAGGGTGTTAAGGACTTGATGTA